ACAAACCTTTGCACTGTAAATAACAGGTCCAGACTTCTAAAAAGAATCTCACCTAAAACCCAGATGCTTATTTATCTCTCTGCGCTGTTTGCCAAAAATAAATAAGCAGCAATAGAAGTAAAATGATTTTAGTTAAAATAGCACTGTAGCATCAATTCTGCCTGTGCATACCATGAATATTAGAGTATTAAATAAGACACATCCTGCTCACAGTGTGTTAATGCTCGTCACATAGCATGGCATGTTAAGTTAAACTGTATGCTGTGCAGCTTATAGTGCATCTTTCATTTTGTGTCAAACCATAATTTTACCAGATCTTCAGTTTATTGTTATAAAGAGTCCACGTCCTGATTGTGAAATGAGACTATATGCAGCTACAATGTGTGCTCTTTTCTCCTCTAAATTTCTCCTCCATGGCCTCTGTATACCATCGACATATGGCCGATGAAAAATTCATGGGCTGGTGGTTAACACAAATCTGCAGAGGAGATGGGAAAACACGAGCTTAGCAAGCAGTTTGCCTATTACATTAACAGACGGGGCTGTCATGGGACGATACTGGCCTATGCATATCACATCTAATCTGATTTCATGTTTAAAGAGCGAGCGAGAAAGTGGTTCAAGTTGTGGAAACAATGACATCATACTGTATGTTCATCTGGTGACCCAACCCAATCAAGCTAGCAGGACTGCATGTTTTTATAGATAGTATCTCAAAGTACAGGTTTGGCATTTAAGCATGTTTACTGGTTTTCAGATTTTCCCCACCTCTTTTACGCCAGTGAAGTATTTTTCAGTATCAGTTTCAGTTTGAGGACGAGTGACTGAACAGGAAATCGTTATTTTCCTGTCAAACACAGATGCAACTAACTCAGACATGTAGAAAACACCCTCGTAAATACACACAGAGAAGCCACAGATGTACCAAACTAGCACACACGCACAACACATTACAAAAATAGACAGTATAATTCTGTTTATGATCAGTACATCTGGACAACGTTAATATACTGAAGCAATGAATTGTGTTTTCTTGTACTCCTCCTACCCTAGAGGATTACAAAAAAAGGATTCCAAAGGATTGCACTGGAAATGTTTCTTTTTAATAAAAATCAAACCAGCACGGAGTGAGAGATATTTCAAACAAAACACACTGAGCTGAGCGTGAAATATATAGTTTCTGTGCCAAGTAAGAGACCTGGGGAATATAGGACAAATGAAAAAGAGCAAGAGGAAGAGGGGGGGCGCGCTCCACTCAACTGCTTTGCCTCAAACTTGATTGCCTCACTAACTTTCAAAATACTGTTGATTTAAGCAATGTGCACATAAGGAGTGTTAGGTTTCTGGAGGAGTGGGGGAGGGGAGAGGAAGGTCAGCATTTTGGGAGAATAGCTTTAGAATAAGAGAAAATGGGAAATATGTTGGTCATAATATTTTCCTTAACAGACGCCCAAATGAGTAGCTGTTGTTTAAATATATCACATACAGCGCCTCTAGGTTGAGCTTGCAAATGTTTATGTTATTGCTTTTTAGTATCCATGCCAGATGACTGTGAGAAATACTCGACAGAACCATGACAGCTAATAACAAAACCTTGAACCTTGTCATCTGTAATTCAGTGTGGCAAAGGCCTGGCGCACTCAAACTATTTCTGGCTTCTTCTCACAGTAGAGGAGTCTCAGTAGTGCCAATATTATTACAGTGCAGTACAGTATGTAAGTCCTTTATCCTTCGGTTTGTATAAGAGCTTGTTTTTCCATTCAGTACACAATAAGCACTGTATGCCAGCGAGGTCTTGCGTACAACTTACATTTCCTCTTCTGCGATTGTGCAGCGGTAAAATTCCTGCTGGCAAGAAATTATATTGGGGACACGAAGTAGCATGGGTATAATCAATCCACGCTGGCAGAGAATGCATGATAATTATAAACAAAACTGTGTCATTCCCCATGAGGGCAGCAGCTGCAGGGGTGACAGGGGACGCTGAACATGAATATGGATCACAGGACTTAAGATCTGGTAACTGACGCAACCGCAGTTTTGCTCCAGCCGGTTCAAAAGCACGGCGTGGACGAAAAAAACACATGAATATAGATCGAGTTGGATAAAGCTCAACTGTCATTGTCATACCAGCGACGACTTTACATCATCCAGTAAAGTGAGAACAAATACTGAAGATATCAAAGTCATTATGTACACAGGAGCCGGAGCATGTTGATGTTTCACTACTCACCTCCAAAAAATACATCAGAGCAAGCGCACACTGCACATGCTCAAATAAAAATATGCTGCTGTTTATTTAATAATCTGTACGTGATTAAGCTGTATTTACACCGACTGCAGTGCTGTGTTGAAACCATAACCAGACTATCAAAAATAGACTGGATTTCATCAGCAGGCTTTCATCTGATGGCTACATTTCACACAATACTGTACCAACAGGCTTTGTGAATTCCTGCCACAGCACTTTTTTTTTCTCCCTGAGCCTTCCCTACCCCCTGAGGTACCCTGACACACTTCTATGAATTAGCCTAGACAAGACGGACGGCTATTAGAGCTGCCACAGCAGATTTGGCTGAATCTAAAAGGTCAGAATTAGCATCGAAAGAAGCATAGAAGAAAGTGCTAAAATTGTTCCCCAGATTGATTTTAACTTTTTAATATTTCAAAGCTGCACAGTATTGCTTCTTATGCGTCCACAGTGCTGGTATTTATCGTAATAAAGGTGGATTTAATATGGCGTTTATAGCTGCTCTTTTTATATGCAGCCCGTAAATGGCAGGAGAACTTTGCTCAGCAGTTGTTTCTAAGCACATATGTGCAAACATTCATGTGTGTGTTTGTGCCTAATAAGTAAGATGCCCCTGAGGCCTTAGTTCACTTGGCAGAGTGGTGGAAATTACTTACCTCTGCTGTTTTTCAAACAAATCACCTAGGAGCAATTCAAGCGGAAATAAAAACCTGCTCCAAACCTAGTAAACCTTTATGTGAATAGCATTAGAAATCTGGTTGCCTTAGTCAAAAAAAAAAAGAACTCCCTTAGGTTCTGAAAATAAACCTTTAGCTTAAATGTGGCTCACAGAGGAATGGCATTATTCAGCCAAGTGAATGAGCAATAGCAGCCACAGGATGTTAGCGTTACTATTCATAACTTATTTTCCAATGCCTAAAACCGTTTTCCCTTCTGGTCTCACCTCTGCTGCTCTCTTAAAATGCAATTACCTACTGGCAAATTTACAGGAAGAGAAAAACAATGACTTTTGACCAGAGGAGCCGTTACTGTGAATGTCAAATTGATGCTGCACAAGAGCCCGCTGAGCTCCACTGTGCTACCGAGCAGAGGAAATATAAAGAGAGATGAATCACATTACTCCTTTGTTTTAGCTCAGCTCGGGGTTAATAAAATGTGTGGATTCATGAGCGGTAGGGAAAGCACAGCGAAAGGCCAATAGACATGTTCAAGCACTTCAAAATTCCTCACTGGAACCACAAAATGTTTTTCTTAGGTGTGACTTATGAGGGTGTTAGAATGGCGGTCACTTGTGTTCGTAAACATAAAGAAAAATTAAGAACATATTGAGAGCAAATGATGAGTCTCAATTAACTAAAATAAACATTTAAAAGCTTGTTCAGTTAAATGGCTTTCATTCATTTGGTCAATGAATGACCAAAAAGGATATATAGAAAAGTTATAAGAAACAAAGGATTGACCAGTGAAATAAGACCACAGCACATAAACGTATAATCTACACACAAATCCAAATTACAGCGATGAAAAATGAAGCATGGACGTCCTCATAGAGCGTAATAAACAACAAATATAGGAACACCAATTTCTGTTCATTTCTCTTTTGTCTGTGTTGCATGTATTTCATTCCAAGGCAAACCAAGTGACAGATATCATATAGTACTATAAAACACGCATCTACAAATTTGGTGATTTTATTTAGAAAACTGAAGGATTACGTGTTCCTTTATGAAATAGGAAAATCATTGTACTTCTTTAGCTAAATACACCATTTAAAAGAATACACCGCCGCTTTAGCTTTGCCCTCCTATAACACTGACTCACAACAGACAAAGAAAAGTAGAAAAATTGATACAGCACAACCAGATATGGTATTTTTATTCGCCTACGCCTACATTACCCACAAAGCAAGTTGACCACAAACAGCTCTGTTGGAGATTAAGGTTTGTAATGCTAGTAGCGGCTGATGTAGCCTCAATACGCTAGCTGCAGTTTGGTGAGCTAACTTCTTTTTAATTCCACACCCTCCAGATTTTTTTTTCATTTTCAAACTTCTAGTACATGTCGTACACGTAACTGATGCTGACTCAAGTGACTTCACCGAAGGCAATTGATCTGATTTCGCACAACTCCTTCTGGAGCCACAAAAAGGATTCATACAACTTTTTGCTCATGCCATACAGAGTACTCCCCGAGACCTGTGAACAGACTGTGATGTGTAAAATGATACGGGTGCTCATTGCATTGACAGAAAACTGTAAACAGGGCTGTTTCTCCCAGTTCATGAAATGCTGTTTGCTGTTTACATGTTTATCACAGGACAGTCTGTGCTGTATTGGGCTTTGAAACTCGAATGGCAGTTTTCTTTGCCCTTTGATGGTCTTTATTTTGATAGCCAGCCATTACACAAAGTAAAACTTCAAATGGGATCAAGTACATTTTCTGTTGTCAAATTGCTTGGCCCAAGAAAAGCAAACACTTTCCATTTTCCAAAAAAGCAGACTTCAACAAATAGTCACGCAAACCAAAATGACATAATTGAAAGTTTGAGATGAACCGTACTTTGAGAATGAGTTTTAAGTGCGTGCTTACGTCCAGAGCTCAGGACATGAGTACTTTGATCTTTCATGGGCTCAATGTGCAACACTCCAAACGCCATAAACTGCCCCTGTAATGGCTGTTGGCATTGCAGATGAGCTAATATGATAACTATCCAAAGGCTACAATCAAAATCGCCAGCTGCCAAACTCACCAAACTCGTCACAGATGCTCTCGTTCTGCAGCAGGGCCGGATGTTCGAAGGTGTCCCGGCAGTACAGGATCCTCGTGCTACCGCCCAACGCAGCGATGCCCCCCAACGCTAGCACCGTGTGGTCTATGAGCAGAGAGGACGGCTGCTCTCTGAGCCGCGCCAAAACTGAGCGGAACCGGCAATACTGTGGGTAACTGAGGACCAGAACCTTCCTCCCGTCCTCCTCCTGGCCTGAAAAACACACAAAATACAGACAGAAACATAAAATAAAGGAAATATTTGCAGGGAAATAGAGAACTTTTTTTTATTTATGTAAGTGCTCCTGTAAGATTTGTAGAGAATGGCAGCATTTCATTTTACATGACACATTCACTCTACTATTTCTCTTCAGATTCTATGACTTTATTTTCTCTCATAGATCATTCTTTGGCTACTATTATACTCTGGCACATCTACTGAGCTGTTAAGAAAATGATCCTTTTTACTCCTCAGTATTGGCCTTAAATTTCAAGGTTGCCTGTAATGTTTGAGATCTTAAACTAAGTATTTTTTTTGTACTGTCACGTTTGCTAAGTACCACATAAATCTCCAGAAGGTAAGTATGAAAGAATGTGATTAAAAAATCCAACAGCAAAGAAACTTTTCAAGTACATATTGCTTTGAGAGATGCCAAAACATTTATTTTATTTTCATGGATTTTTCAATAAATGTTGTGAAGCAATACCTCTATGCTAAATGCCGCTTTGTCCAGTACCAAGCGTTACCCTGATATTCCAACAGTTCCCATACAACATATATTCATTTGTCTTGCTACCTGATATCCCATCACGAGGATCTCTCTGCGTGTTTCAGGAAATGCATCACATTCAGGACGCAACATGCCCTGAATTTGCTGTAACGCTGTGACTTTAAAAGGTTTCACACGCTTTCCTCGTGGTAATAACACATTTCATCAGACTGACATGACACATGTGAACTGTACAAATAGTTATGTTGTTGGGCTGCATGTTTGAAATTCTTGACATGTGTCGCTGATAAGAGTGACAAGAGGAAGAATACAAAAACAGATCTAGATGCTTGATATTTTGATTGGCAAGTTTGTATTAATAATTACAGCTTTCCATCTTGCTTTAAGATCTATGGCCTCTGGTGTAATAATGTATTGGTTGATAACAAGGCTCACTGTTTTACTTACGTGGTAGGGAAACCTCCCTTTACCACCACATTGGGTGTGTTGCTCCTGATGTGTGTGTGTGTAATTAATATTCCACTGACCTATGGACGTATGGAATATCGACTGAGGCATTATTACCTGTGACTGACTGACTAACTGGCAAAGAAACCTCTGGACAGGAAGTAGAAACTGAGATGACGTCATGAACTCTCATAAAAACCAGGAAGAAATGCTGATAGACAAATCAAACTGTTAATATCAAACCACCAGTAACACCTACCAAATACATTTACAGGATTTGATCTTTTTTTACCAGTTGTGACAGTGACGCTGGTATTATTTTTACCTTGTGAGTCTGTGTGTGTCTTCAGGGCATTCTGGAGACATCTACAATAGCATGAAATACCAAGACCGTCTCATTTGTATTTATTAACAATATCTGTTCTTGACATTTACCCTGGCGTAATACTTCGACAACAAATACAGAACCAGCAGACTATAAATGTTAATAAATGTAGCCTCTTCAACATCTCTCTCAATGTTGTCTAGATGTGGATGTTATACAAGTAACAGAGTTAGCTGTGAAGGCCACATGTTACTGATGCTGATTAAAATGACATTTATTAACTTTAACAGAACATCTACCACCCACACGCAGTAACAAAAATATAGTAATAAATAAATAACTACATGCTCAATTATTGTTTTGTATCCCGCAGTAGATGGAACTGGTTGAATAAGACACTTTAGGAGAATAAATACTTTAATTGAGCCAATTTGAACGTTTAGAAGAGACATTTTCCAATTTTTTGAAATGATATTGGACACAGTGTTTCCCTTGTGTTACGTTTCAGGAGCTCTATGTTAAACTAAGTCTCATTAGTCTTGTCTGCCTTTAATGTTTAACACTCCTGCCATAAAACAGGATTAAATATTACCCACCATAAACACAGAAGGGAAATGACATGACATGCAGCATCATACACAAAGAGATATTTAAAATAATATAAAATAGGTCTGCAATGTATGGCTATTTTCATAATCGATTAATCTGTCAACTACTTTCTCGATTAATTGATTAATTGCTCAGTCCATAAAATAGAAGACTAAGAAAACCTGCAGATATTGACATTTGAGAAGCTTTAACCACTGGCTTTTTGGCATTTGTTGTTACTAATATTACTCACATGTTTAAGGAATTATTTTAAAAAAAATGTCCTAATTCATTTTCTGTTGATCTGCTAATCGATTATTGACAAATTGTTAGAGCTCTAATATAATACCATACATGAATATGAGGTGTCGTTATATGACAAAATACAATATAGTAAAATAAGGTGTATCTGGTCCAAAGCTCTCATATAGGTGTGTTGTTTCTTATCTTCCACTATGGTGATTATATGATAATAAAATGACCTCAGCGGAGGTGATACAACACAATACAGTACTGCACAATGACGGGAAATTGGCCAACTCACAATATATAGACAAATTATGCATGTGCATTGTTCCGTAAAGCTCCAGTCAATGTCACATTTTGTAGACTCATTTGCTCTCAGAGTGTTGTTTGAAAGTAGAGTGCTAATATTTTTCTAGCTTACAAAGCCGACTACACGGTTCAAACGGTTGATGAAGCAGAGTCAGGCAGTTTGAAACACAATTTCTACATGAATTATTCACTGTGCTGTCTGCTTTTACAAAGCCCTTGGCTTGACATTCATGGGAATTTCTGCTGGTAAGTTAATATTTCAGGGGTGGCTAACTAGCAAGCTTTTCACCTTGCCACTCTAAAGACAAAATAGGCATGGAGAAATACATTTTCCCTCTTTGGTGTTATTGTATCAAGCTGGAGGCTCAAATGTGCAGCAGAAACAGGGCAGGAAGGACACCATTCATATCAACAGCAGCTGCATTCCCGACAATCAGCGTAATTTGTTCCACTATACTCCAATATGACGACAACTTCAAAAGAAATTATTAAAACCATTCATCCAACAGGCACACAATCACACACAGAGAGAGCCTGTATGCGGAGGTAGATGCCACTAAGCCAACAGATGTATAAACACACATATTCCTGCATACATGCACATGCATATTACACCGCAGACACATATTCATCAAAGATTGTGTCAGTTGTTGTCGTATGCAATTACAGCTCAGAGGTAGAGCAAGCCTTGTTTCAAAATGTCAGGGATTTTATTGTAAGCGGTCACCGTCAGACCTGCTCTTTCTCCCGAGGACCCTCGCAGCATTTCACTTGATTAGATTCAATTTGGAGAGAGAGCCGCAGGGCATTTATAACAGTACAAAGACGTAAAGTATGCAGGTCGGCGTGTGTGTGTGTGTGTGCATTAGTGCGTGTGCATTAGTGCGTGTGATGTAAATTGAGTATATATACACTTCAAAAAATCCTTTTGTTCTCACAGCCGACCTTTCAAAATAAAGGGCGTCTTTATCTTTACGTAAGGTTTCTAATTGGTCGGGGATGTGACTGCAACACTGGAGAGCTGGAAGACACTGAGAACATTATGCAATTAGTTTGCTCTCTCTCTCTCTCTAGATCTATTTTCTTTGTCTGTCTGTCTGTCTGTCTGTCTGTCAGACCTCTCACTGCAGCGTGTTGATCAAACAGCTGTGGTGTGGCAGATTATTTTCAGAACACGCTGTAAAGCTCCTGACCTCATAAACTACAATAGTGTCGGGGTCATAACTGCTCTGCAGGACAGCTGAAGCTATAACCCCTCAGTCAGCGCAGCACTCAATACATTCTAATACAATACACAACAAACAGTAAACTGATAAATGTATACTAAAAGTTAAGTACATTATGTAGTACTATACTGTACATTTGATGCTCTGTACAAGCATTAAAGGGTCACTAACTTAATTTAATAATGTTTTCTGTATAAAATCCAGAGGTTTATAGAAAGCTTGCTCTCTTTTTGATTAGTCAGACAGCTGAAAGTCCTTGATCCATTTTGTTATGTCTTGTTGTTATTGCTTCTTCTATTGTTGCTGTTGTCAGTGTGTCTTCATAGCTTCTACTACTCTCAGGCTACAGCAAAATACTGTAGGTTGCAGCTCTTCCACGCCAAGGCCTCACGTGAATGTCATTTTAAAAATCAATTCTTAAATGTACTGATCGAATGAAACAAAAGCAGGAGGGATATTTGCATATGTGTAGTCATATTTAGGAGTCTGGTGGCAGAACTTTGTTCAAGCTGTAAACTCCAAGGATGACTGAGTTACTCAAATAAAAAGCGCATTACAACAGCATAACCAAGAAGTGACAAAGGCATGAATGAGTTCCACAGTGTCTTGAGACGACAGGTATGCGGCTGATCTCACTAAAATTGCCAAAACTAAAGACAGATGACTGAACCAGTTTTGTAATATGCAAATTAAAATGCAAGCAGGAGTCCGTTTGAAAGAGAATAAAAAAATCTGCTCGTGCAACGGGTCCGGATCAATGATTGTATGTTTTTTACTGGAGATTTGAGCCATCCACCCCCTGATGTCAAAGACAATTATATAAAAGGGACAGTTTGCTAAACGTATTTGTGGCCTGCAAGACCTTGCAGATCCCATCAGTTAGTTACATAGAGGTTTTACACACACCAACATTTTCTTTGTTTATTCATAGAAACATTCTAGTGTTTTTGACCAAATGTGGCATTGAAGAAACTACAGTGAATCAATACAGTATGTTGCTGATGTGGCTTTGTAGGATTGTGCTTTGTTATGAATCACGGCCCAGGGGATAAGACAGATGCCACACAAATGAAAGGGAACTGAACTCAAAGAAATCTATATCTGTTGATTTTCACAAAAAAACAAAAGCATACAAACATCTGTCACTCAGGTGCAGCAATATACTTCTTCCAGCACCTCTTTTAATCAAAAACTTTACAAGCCGAGATTGAGAGCAAAGCACTAACAGAGAACAAAATGAGTAGTTACACTGCAGAGCTTTTGTTTTTATACTTTGTTTTTACACATCTTTGAAGACGTGAAATAAAACAACTGTACAGCAGAAAAAAAGTCAAAGACCATA